ACAGTTTGGACTGCACTGATTTATTTATTTATTTTTGTTATATAATGGTAATTTTCTGATTAATCCATCCAGATTATTTCAGAGAAATATGTTTCATTTTTTAAAATAATCTGATAGCTTTTTGCAAAGAAAAACAGAACWGCACAACATTTCTGTAATACTGTAATACTTCTAATACAATACTAGCATAACAGTATTCTGAAGAAATATGGAGAAGCATAAGTGAATCCATGCAAATTGTTGTTTGAGTTGGTGTTTTAAGTTTAGCTTTGTTTCTGTTTTTTGTGTGTTTTCAGTTGTTTAGATTTTTGTTGTAATTTACTTTCATTTTGAACATAATCTGGGGATTAAAAAAGGGGCAGATATAAGATTTATTCTTCTTCTGCTGCCTTTCTTTTTATTTGATTTATTTTGATTGCTGTTTTTTCTTCTTTGTTATGTTAAGTGTTACAAATGAAATGACTAAATTTCTAAATAAAAAAAAATAAAGAAAATAAAACATTTCACTTTAGATTTTTATAAAATCTGCTTTTTACTGTTTTGTTATTCCAAAATATTTTCAAAAGGAAAGCCGGTTTTTTTAAAAACGTATAATTTGCAAAATGACTTTGTATTGACTGTGAAACAGTCTGGTTTGGTAAAACGTATAGCTTTAAAAACTTTTACACAAATTATTGTAATCAATGGCCCAAAATATGAAAAATACTGTAAAGATGCTCCTCATCTCACTGACCACAGTTAAAACTATTGTCCACTGAAATAAAGATAAAAATATCTGTATAAAACTGGCAGAAAGCCTGMCATATGCCACAAGTCAGGTGAGTTTTTGAAGACGTAAATGTACTCAGAGTGATATTACAGAGTCTAAAGGTTTAGTTAAACAAATAAACCCAAAGCAGGACTTGAAATAAAACAGGATGATGTGTGATCGACGGCTCAGGGCGACGCCTACATCTGAGTCTCTGTTTGCAGTCAGCAGGAGGTTTTTGRGCGCATGAATGAAAAGCTAATTGTTCTTTCCTCTGAAACCAAACAGGAAGCTGTGAAACAAATAAATAGTTATTCAATATGTTCAAACTTTGTTTAGTTAATCCACATTTCCATTTAGCTCACTTGYGTCCACTTTCACAGGTGAAAACACCTAAAGAGCAAAGACAAAATATAGAAAACTAAAGACTTCTGCAATGTGGAAAAAAATTATGTTTAAGGTGTTAAAATTGTTTTATTGTTAATGAAAGCATCAGTTGGCATTACTGAATAAAACAAGTTCCTAGTGAGCTCTGTCAGGACAGCAGTATCATAGATGTGATTATAAAATAATTTGGATGCAGCACATTGGAATTAAAACATCAGAAGATGTAAAATCATGTAAAGCAATGACAGCAAGAAATTTTGAATCTGAATCCGTTTTTTTAACCTCTTCTTGTTCCGTTTTCAACATCTTTACAGCGTCATGAACTGAAGCAGCCACTGTGGATGAACAACAGGAGACGAGAAAGAATAAAGTCCAACAAGTTGTTTTTATTTTACTTCACTATGAAGACATGAGACGTTTTTATACTCACAGCATTGATCCCTCGGTTTTTCACCTCCTGGTTTGTCTCTGCTTCAAACAGAGCTGAGAAGAAGAGAAGATGATACTTTTTCTCAGTTGAACTGGAAATTTGTTGACAACCACTGACTTGTGTAACGACCTTACATGAATCTATAAACTACAAACTTAAAAACTTTAAAAAATAAAAAGTGTATTCTTGATCATTCAGAAAGGATACAATCTAGTAGGTTGTGTGTGTGTGTTTGTGTGTGTTACCAAAAAGCTTGCGCAGCCTGGTGACACACGACACAAAGCCGTGGAAGGGCAGCTGAAGCTCTCCAGCTGCAAACCGCTCAGACAGGAACTGAACTACTTTGTTGTCGCATCGCATTCCTGGGAAACAGGAATGAAAAAAGCTGTGAAAAAAGCTGCAATCTGCAACTATATACTGTACGTGTGTGTGTGTGTGTGTGTGTGTGTGTGTGTGTGTGTGTGNGTGTGTGTGTGTGTGTGTGTGTGTGTTTGGTGTTTGGATACATACCAACAGCCTCCAGGGCCATGCTGAGCTCAAACAGGTTCATGGTCCCAGAAGAATCCTCATCAAACTTGATAAAAATTGACTGGAAAAAAAATACATCAGAGGCACACACACACACACACACACACACACACACACACACACACAAACGCAATGAGCTTCACCTGCAGATTGCGCAGATCTGAGATCAGGGTTTCTGCCTGCTGACGGCTCAGAGTGGCGCGGCCCTCAGTCTGACAGCTGAGTTAAGGTTGTTTTAAAAGAAATCTCAAAATACACCAAATATAGGTCAAGATCTGTATTCTGGTTATTTAAGTTGATTTTTAAGTTTGGTTTGGAGGATATTTTGAAATGGACTGGCTGCAAAARCCCATTTGTTTTGTATAAATATATATATATATGTACAGTACATACCCCCGGCGGGCTCCGTAATATATATATTCAAACGATTAATTCCTGAATGTTCCATTAAAAGTGGTTGAAAAAAGAAYTTGCTGACAGATGTAAACACAGAGACACAAGCAGAAAAAACAAYGTCTCTGAACCAGGACGAGGAGGCACTGAGCACTAAAGGATACATCTTCTCCAAAGATAATCTGTCTGCATGTCTCCAGAGGCAGATCTTTATCAACAACTGTCGTGAGAATAAAAAAGAACCATGCTTGTAAAATAAGCATTTAAGAAATGATTAGGAGAGGCCAGGATGAGAAAACGTTCATTTAAAAAGTTAATTCAACTTCCTGCAGCTACACGCATCTGTCTAGCCTGCTGACCTCTGCACCTCCTCAGCTGCAGCTCTGCATGCTTTGCCTCCATCTAGTGGCCTTCAGCTGCTACAGTCAAAGAATTAAAGAGGTTCAACTCTAACCTGAGTTGAACAGCTTGGTGATCTCYTCAGCATCCAGCCTGTCGTCCTGTCAGGAGGACAAAAGCACACAATCACTCATGTGGGAAGACAGAGTTAGTTTTTGTTGTACCGGAGAACCCTTACTGGACCGGCTTTTTCATCAAACGTGCTCGCAACTTTGGTGCGATCCTCTGTGGAGACAGGGGGGGACGAAACCTGTGAGACACACAAACACAAAATATAATCACACAAACCTGAGTTTTGTCCATGAGCAATCTGAGGATGGGGACTGAACTCACCGGCAGGTAGGTAGAAGAGCAGGTGAAGTCCTGACCTCTAAAAAACAAAACAAAACAAGATTATCATCATCAGATTATTATTTTATCTCCTTGAGGTTATCCTTCATCACATCCTGTTGATACACACAGCTTCATAGACTCTAAGTAATGTGAAAATGAGAAAATGCAGTAAATTTTTATTTTACGTAACTCTTTAAAAATACATAATTCGATTTTTAAAATTTATTTTTATTTAAATTTTACTTGTATTGAGCTTTTTGCCACAATGTGAAACATAACCATTCATCCATCCATTATCTGTACCTGCTTCTCCCTTTCAGGGTCACCTAACAGTCATGTTTTAGCTCTGTGGGAGGAAGCCAGAGTGTCCAGAGACAACCCACACATGCACAGGGAGAACATGCAAACTCTACCCAGAAAGGTCCCTGGGCCAGGATTTGAACCAGCGACCTTCTTGCTGAGAGGCATCAGCTCTACCARCTGAGCCACCGTGCCACCAGGACTGTGTAGTTATTTGATAATCAGAGCGTTTTTTGGATWACGTAACTGCCTGTGTCTGTTAGYAAAATATCTAATGAACAACTGAAGAGATTTTAATGAAACTTTGTGAAACAATTATTGGAGTGAAACTTTAATCAGGAMTTACAGTTAGGAAGGGACTGTTTTCATTCTTCAACTAGCAAAGATGGTGTTAAAATTTTGATTACTTTTAATTTACGGGTCAGAAGCTGAATATTCCATAATGCCTTCATGTTTTTTGAAAGTAGTGTAAATATAATGTTCTTCATCTCACCCCAAAGTGTTTCTGATCTTAGAGAAAATGCGGATAAAGAACTCTCCGGGCTGGTTGGGCCGATAAGTGGATCCAACGATGATGTAGTTCCCCGGGTCCAGACGCAGCTTCCTCCACACGCCTCTGTGGGACAAAATGAACCAGTGATGAGTTTAAATCCATACATTTACTAAATGCTAACAGAGTGACTGCTGATTCAGCATTTTTCTCTGCAGTTTTACTGACTTTTTTGGTTTGTTCTTTGTTTTTGCAACGTAACGCCTGCATACTTTGTGATGTTTTAGTCATTCATAAATCCAAACGTTCCGCTCTTTCAGGAWATGGATGCTGTGACTTTACACTTCTTTTTTGTAGCTTTTCTACTTTTCAAACTTAATTTACAGATACGTTCCTAAGGATTACTTCAGCTCTTTTAAAAACAGTGATCTCTGTTATGGTTCAGTATTTTTATTCCACTATTWTTTTTTTTTAGCAAAAATGTTGCTAATTTTAGATTTTAGCTGTTCTTTTTCTACTTTTAATCAATATTTTGTATGTTTAGCTATGCTGCTATTAGCTTTTAGCCACAGCCTTTAGATTGTAGTTTGCATTTGGTTGAACTTTTAGCTTCTAGCTAGCCTTTTGATACTGTTAACC